CATGAGCGCGCACGCGTGCATGCGCAGACGTGCACACCCTCACACGTGCGCACGCGGAGGCACACACACACACTCACGCGCACACACACACACGTGCACACACACACACACACACACACACACACACACGCACACACGCTGACATGCGCGCACGCACACACGCACCCACACACACACACACCCACCCACCCACACACCCACCCACCCACCCACGCATGCACTCACGCACGCGCGCGCGCGCGCCCGCCCGCCCGCCCGCCCGCCCGCCCGCCCGCACGCACGCACACACGCCCACGCACGCACGCACGCGCGTGCTTGTGCGCGCGCGCGCCCGCGCGCGCGCGTGCACGCACACGCACGCGCGCGCGCACTGCACTCGCACGCGCACGCGCCGCGCGCGCGCGCGCACACGCACGCACGCATGCAATCACGCACGCGCACGCGCACGCGCACGCGCACGCACACGCGCACGCGCACGCGCACGCGCACGCGCACGCGCACGCGCACGCGCGCACGCACGCGCACAAAAGCACGCACACGCACACGCACACGCGCACACGCTCACCCACCCATGCACGCACGAACGCACGCACGCACGCACGCACCCTCCCACCCACACACACACACACCCACACACACACACACCCACACACACACGCACACGCACACGCACACGCACACGCACACGCACGCGCACACGCACACGCACACTCACACTCACATTCACACGCACACGCACACGCACACGCACACGCACACGCTCGCGCTCACGCACACGCACACGCACACGCACACGCACACGCACACGCACACGCACACGCGCAAGCGCACGAGCACGCGCACGCGCACGAGCACGCACACGCACACGCACACGCGCACGCGCACGCGCACGCGCACGCGCACGCGCACGCGCACGCGCACGCCCACGCACACGCACACGCACACGCACACTTACACGCACACGCACACGCACACGCACACCCACACCCACACCCACACCCACACCCACACACACACACCCACACCCACACACACACACACACACAGCGCACACACACACACACAGCGCGCACACACACACAGCGCGCTCACACACAGCGCGCACACACACAGCGCGCGCACACACAGCGCGCACACACACACACAGCGCACACATAGCACACACACACACACACACTGTACACCCTGCACGCACACGCACGCGTACACGCGCACACGTGCACACGCTCACAGGCACGCACGGGCGCACACACCCGCACACTACTTAGTACGTGTTTTCTTGGAGAATGCGCTCGAGCTTGTTTAGGCACCTTTTGACCGGACAACACTTGCATTGGCAGTCTTGCTTTGGCGAGTGCGGAGACAGAGGGCTATGCTCTTGACTGGTAGCGTAGCTGCACGCAACTGTAAATGGCAACATGACTCAGGAATACACAGCAGCTTTAGTCCCACTAGCATGGGTGATCCGCCATCATGTTCTTGCTAAATACTTGCTTGATGTTGCTTGCACATGTGAAGCCTACTTGGGTACGATCAACATGGTCTCACTCGCACTTTGCAGTAAGAAAGAGCCAAGCACCATGGATGTGAAAATTGGGGACTTCCGCGGCTGACAGAGCCGTGGATGCTTGTTGTACATGTTTAACTTGGCATGGGGCGACCACAAGGGTGATGGTGCAAAGCTTTCAAGTTGCTCCTTCGACTTTCCGGACTCGTGGTGCACCCCATTGGCCTCTTGTTGTTTTGACCTGAAGTGAAGGCCTGCGGCGTGAACTCGGGCCTGATCGCAGCGGGTCGCGAGCGGGTCCGGGGGCCCAGCAACAGCGAATACCTGGCAGGCGGATTGGTTTTGACTTGCGCACCTCTTGGCACCTGAGGTGGGCCTGGTCTGAAAGCTTTGAGACTTTTTGGATGTTAGAATGGAAATACTAGGGGCAGCTGAATTACTGGAGCGCACACGCAAGTTGACTGCACGGCATGTGCCTGTAGGTGCTTACGAGTGGACATTCTGAGTTTTTGTTGCACGACTGGTAGTTTTTCTCATGACATGCTCGCCAGTTGTGCGCACTGCGTCACACACTTGAATCGCCTGGATGTCTGGCCATCGCCCTGTTGGACCGCCCCAAACTGTCAAATGGCCGTGGGTCAAAACCAATGGTGCCATTTTGGGGTAGGTGCACCACCCATTTTAGTCTATTTTAGTGGGGACTGGGATGTTGGGTACGGGGTTTTGACCCATAGCCAGGGCGTGCCTCGTCTTTCCTGCGTTTGGGCAACGGGAAGCCCAAGAAAAGGATTCGCCGCTGTCCCTCGCAGCCCCTCCAGCCGCCTTCTTTCCGCTTCCTGGAGGCCTCGGCCTGGCGGGCGAACCACTTCAAGATCGCCCTCCACGACGAGCTTTTTCAGGCGGTGAAGGAGCGCGGTGCTTCATTCAGTGCCCGGTGACGGGAACGTGATGCGGAAATCAGGGGGTCATTGCTGCAATCGTTCCAACACTCGCCAAGTTTCCGAGGGAACGCAAAGGTCTCATCGGGTAGAGAACGCCGGCTGAGCTGGGGCGACTCTGAAAGAAGTGCTCCCTTCGAGAGAGGCCCGAAAGAGATTGGGACACGAACGGATCCCTACGACTCAAGCGAACTGCAGCACAAGACATCTACGGGGAACCAAGGGGCGAGATGCCACGTCGCACGAGTTTGCACCTAGCTATGAGGGTCACTTTGTCTTTGTAAGAAGCCGATGGAGCGTCCTGAGCTATGACATGACTCGGGAAAAGGCTGAGTTTGATTCGATGTTTCAGACTGGGAACCTCCAATTGAGCATCTGCTTGGGGTTTCTGGCTTTGAGACATGCGCAACTGCCAAGCGGCAGAGGTACACAAAGCAAGAAGCAGTCGGTGGCCCCTAAGTTTGATTGAGCCGTTGCTGGTTGTCATGGATGTTCCGACTTCGATGACACCATCAAGGCTGCATCAACGTTGTAATTTGTGATGACAGTATCAACGTTGCATGAGCGCTGCAACTTCGATGATCGTCATTGAAGTTGCATCAATGCGGCGAAGTTGATAGTCATCCGCGTTGCATCACTGTTGCAACTTCTATGTCATCGTCAAAGCGTCTTCAACACTGCAGCTTCGATGATTGTCATCCACATTTCATCAGCATCGCAACTTTGATGACACCGTGAACGCAGCATCAACACTGCAACTTCGATAATTGTCATGGACGTTGCATCAACGTTTCAACTTTGATGACCCCATCAACGTTGCATCAACGCTGCAACTTCGGTCATTGTCATCGACGTTACATCAATGTTGCAACTTTGGCATCGTTCACGTTGCGCCAACTGCATCAATGTTGGAACTCTGATGGCGCTAATGGAAGTTGCATCAACACCGCAACTGCGATCATTGCCAATGTCGCGTCAACGTTGCAACTTCGAATGGTGCTGCAACCTCGACGAAGCCATAAACATTGCATCAACACTGCAACGCTGATAAAACCAGCGCTGCATCAACGCTGCAACTCCGATGATTCAACAGGATTGCAATTCTGATGACCCCTATTTTCCAAAAGCATCGCAAACGGTTCTTCCGCTGGATATTTCTTGCTCTGGCTTACAGGGCATTTTTCTCAGAGAAACTTGCTCAGAGTACTTGCACAGAGAAACTTGAGCAACTTGCTCTGAGAACCTTGCTCACAGAATAGATTTTCTTTCTAAACTGAAACGCACTCGAAATTGGAGCTTTTTCAGGTAAAGGGCGGACACGTACGTGCCGCACGGATTTGCGACCCTTTATGTGGGTTGGTTGGATTGACAGTCAAAGGCGGGTGCTGTTGATGCTCGCGGCCCTCGGCGTGGATCGCGCGGGGTTGGCCTAGCACTGAGGGCTTTGCCTTTTCGCACACCACGCCACCCTCTGCGTGGGTTGGGCGAGCCCTGCAAAAATGGCCTTGCTACCACGCAACCCTCTGCGGATCTGGCAGGTCGCATGGCAAACATGCGCGTAGAATCGCACGTTTTCTTCCAGCAACGTGCCTGAAAAAGACCTTCGTCAGTGGCGGCCCCAGGCTCAACTCCGCCCCTTCTTGAAGAGAGAAACGCAGCGATGCCTTTTGGTTCCGCTGGCAACACTGGCCCGCAATTTCGGGAGACTTGGAGCCGCAAAAGGCTCAGGCAATCCGCAAGCGCTGGAGTTGGGCACTCTTTTGTACCCTCCTTGGACAGACAAGCGCCACGAAGAATAAGAACTTCACCTTGTGTGGATGGCATATTGGCTCCTTTGGCAACAAGGTGCACGATTGATTTCCGGGAAACTTAATGCAACAACTGCGACCTTGGACAGGCAAGCGCCACGAAGGACGAGAGCTCTTATCCTTCGGGGCTGACTTTTGGCTCCTCTGCCAAGATGGGCCGCAGGTTTTTCAAAAGATTTAGAGCTGCGAAGTGTTCAGGAAGCCCCCGCGCCGGTTTTGGGTGTTCTTGGCGATGGCCTTTTGCCCCTGTTCGCAGCAAGAGACGCAAGCTGCGCACGAAAACTTGCTTAGAGACTTTGCTTGGGGAACTTGCTCGGGGAAACTTGCTCAGCGAATTGCATGAACTTGTCAGAGGAAAATTCGCTACAGGACTCGCGCGCAAACTTGCGGTGCAGACAATGGAAACAACCTTTGAAAGCAAGTCCAAGACAAGTTGAAGCAGCTTTGTCAGATTGTCCCACGTCAGCATGCCGCCGGCATTATGGGTAAGTCACCTCAAGCACCTGCCTGAGCCATCCTTGCATACGCGTGAAGTTCCCCGAGCCTCAAAGTGCGCCCGGAACGCACGCGGCATGCGGCGAGGAGCTACGGAAGCACGTGGAGAAGCGACAGAAACCCGGGGCAGGCGCGGGCGTTGGGCTTCGATCTTTGTGAGGCCCATGGTTTACTTTGGCACATGAAGGATCCTGTCTGAAGCACTTGCCCTGCGCGGCGGCTCCAGCTACAAATTGGCCAATCATACATTCATACAAATATGCAATATAATTATATATATGTACATATATATATATATAATAGAATCTTAAGGTGATTCGCGATAATTCCTTGGTATTTGGAGCTGCCTCAGGTGCGCCGGAGCAGCAGCGGATGCGCATCGCCATCTCGGGCTCGGGGTTGCCCCCCGACAACCCCTTGGTCCTGGAGGCAAGGGATGCAGTTCTCTCAGCTGGTTTCGCAGACATCTTTGATTTAGGGCTCCTTACAAGAGCCCCATTTTGCAGCCGTTTGAAACATGTTGCTTTTTCAACACCAAAGTAAAGGGACACCACCATTTACAAGGCAATTTTCAGTTTTGTTTTGTAAGGATCCCTGTTCTTCCTCCGGATTTCTTTTTGGGAGGACCCACTACCACCGACCAAAAGCCGCCTAAGCAGCACAGCTAGCAGGTCATCGTGTGGACGTTTCTGGAAGCCACGGCTCGCTCGCGCCTTGCTGGCGCCTTTCCCAACTTTCGCGGGAGGCCTGGGGCCTGCTGCGGCAGTGGGAGCAGGACAACGTGGCGCTGCGGGCGGAGGCGCGGCTGGGCAGCGCCGTGGAGCGGGTGAAGGGCGGCTTCAACGGCGACGCCCCGGAGGCGCGGGCCGTGAGTCGTGAGATTTTAGGGCCGCTTGGCAGGATCAAAGGCTTGGGTTACAGGAAACTCTACAGGAAAACAGCTGATTGAGTGTGTTTTGGGGCCATTGCCTGTTTTCCTGTAACGAAAGCCTTTGACAGGGAAAACCGGCCCAGTACTCCTCAGTCGTTGTGAGTTGATTGGAGGGCCACCCCTGTCAAGGCCGAAACAAGGCGGAAACTGGCGAACGGCGAACGTCGCCGGCATGCAAAGTCAGAGTACTATTTGTAGGTGCAGGAGATTGAGGCATCCGCAGCGGATGATTGTAAGAAGCTGTCATTACTGATGGTGACAACTCTGCAGAACGGATCGGAAATCCCAAGCAGACGGACTTTGCACCTTATTTCCCACTACCCCTCCTTGCCTCCTGGACGACGTATGACTTGCACGTAGTAACAGGAACGCCAACCATCTGCAACTCTGTGGACTACTAAGTAACTCAGCTACTCAGAGAATACTTGGACGCCGAGTTTGAACGATGTAGGACTCTTGGCACAACGCTTGGCGTCTCAAGACATGTTTCTATTTCCTGGTTCAGACATTTTGTCAACTGTGCTGTCATTTCAATTGCAATGCCTACCCAACGACATCTTCCGCGACAGACGTCAATGATAGGTGCGGGTTTAGATGGTCCTCGTGACGTCCTAGTGTCGACAGATGAGATTGCATGGTACTGTGCCGCCCCCGATTGGAAGCCTTTGGGATCGTTTGGGTTGATTGGAGTCATTTGGGTTGGTTGGAGTCATGTAGGGGGGACTTGGACCAATCTGATCTTAGGCCATTTGGGGTGACTTGGGAGAATCTGGGTCCATTTGGGGTGATTTGCGGTGGTCTGGGGATCTATGGTGACTTGGGGTCATTTGGAGTGACTTGGGATTCTTCGATAACCACCTGAAGCAGGCATGAACCAACATGCACATGTGCCCTTTTAGGTGAGCCAGGTTAAAAACAGATGGCACTGGTTTAGATGGGTTTTGTTCCATTTACCATCTATTTGTCCAACCGGCCACCTATGCCAACACGCCTTGGCCACAACGGGACCCGCCTCGCTCCGCAGGCCGGCGACCTCCTCGGCTCCGCGATCGCCGAGGTGGCGCAGCAGGGCGTCGACGCCAAGTGGGGAGCCCCGGGGTGGGAAATTTTGCGCGGAGCCGATGCCTAACACAAGCAGAACAGGGGACCCTGGTAGTGCGCTTTTTGCGCGTTTTGAGGCTTGCAGTCTTCTCATGGGTCAGCCATGTCAGTTGCACTTGATCTAAAAGATGGGTCTTACAGTTTAAAGATTCGTCAGCGGATGGATGGCCCATGGCGTAAGAAGGCGGGACTGCGCTCACTTGTAGGTTTCTGGGGCCTTTTACCCAGCAGACAACTCCGCCAGTTCAAAGAGGAAGGGCACCAAGGGACCGACTGTGCCATCGGAGGTTCCTGGACGCTGCGCGCAAGTCCCTGGCTGCATGGCAGGCGGGGCACGCTCTCAACCCATTGGGCCATCTCTTGGCCTAAGTCGGCGTTCTGATCATTTGGGTGTGGGGCAAAACCAATGGGATCCCATTTTGGTTTGTAGGTGCACCACCGATTTTAGAACCTATAGTGGCGATTGGGATGTTCACTGGGGCTACGGGCTGTTGACCCACAGCCATTTGTCGAATTCCACATGGCCGGACATGGCCGGGATTTCAGTTTCGGAGAATTGCAATGTCCCGCTTTGACTCATCCTTCATTCGCATTTGCCTGCCTGGTGTATGCTTACCCAGACGCTTCTGACTATGCACGCTCAACTTCTCAGGTTTGATCTATCCGCATGCGCCTTCCTGCGCTGACAGCAGATTAGAATTGGGGGGCGCGCGCGCGCTTTTGACTTTTGCAAATAGGGATCAACAACGCCGCAATAGCATACAGTCAGTCTGATATTGTCATGAAGGGGTGCCGAAACGAACTTGAATCCCAACGTGGGGCACGTGCGTGCTACCATCACACATCCCAAAGCACAGTCTTCGAGACACGGCTTGTTTGCAATATCCTTTGCGCTAGGCTCTTAAGCGACCCATGAAAGCGGCTGCACCGCTGGTTGTAGTTCCTGGAAAGGAGAATCGCCCGCTTGGGTGCCTGGATCCTCAGCATGTTCCTGGCTTGGGCAACGTCACCTGAAATCCTTCGTCACATCGGCGTTCCCATGGGACTTGTGGGTCTCAAGGTCTCATAGGTGAGGGCCATGATGTGGTTTTCCTAGGAGTCTCGGCTGAAGCGGGCGCGGCAAGAGCTGGCAACTGGGCAGAAGTTGTGGAGGGGAGCATGTGAGGCACTGGGAGGATGGGATGTGTGGTCCCAGACCGGAAACAACAAGTCTTTGTGCTTGGCTGGATGCAACGGTGGCCCTAGAGGCACATGCTTGATTTTTGGAACTTTGCCTAAAGGACTCAAAACATTTGGCTGCAGACTCAGGACTCACACATTCCGGGCAGCCATCACCCTGCATAGTTTTTGACTGGTACCATTTTGAGTCACGGCATTATCGCAACCGCATCAGCGTCAAACAACCGCCGTAGTTTGTTTGGTAGCAAAGCAAGGGGCCACTTTCCAGCTCCCGTCACATGCGCTACATGTCAAGACTGGACACCCCTTTTTGGTTCTATCATAAGCAGAGGTCCGTATTTCTGACGAATTCCCAACTACAAGCGCAGCCTGCCAAATGAAGGGGCCACAATCCAATTTCTGATGAATTCTCAACCCCAAGTGCGGCCTGCCATTCTTTGGCGTGCCATTTCTGCATATATCATCGGTAAGGTTCAATGCTTGGCACTGGCAATGCGAGCAAGGATTGCTGCCTTTTCCTACACAAAGGATCGGAGGCATCGGACTTTGGCATATTTGTTCCATTCGGCTCATTTGCATTTGTCTGCACCGGAGACTGGTGGTGCTTGGGTAGGGCAAATCAGGGTATCCAATGACAGCATTGCTTCGGCTGGGTAGTCACTATCTTCGGTCCGCGTCGGCCTTCTTTCCAATCAACTCCGCATGTTTAGTGTCACTGCTTCCAATCTTGCCAATGACACATGTCGAGAGAAGGGGATGTTGATGTAAGGCTTATTCCCTTCGGGAGGTGTTTTGCTCATGCTTTTGTGCATGGCAGATGACTGGCATGTTTACTCTTGAGTTGTTCTTCAAAGATAAACGAGGTGTTCTCAAAGGTACAAGGGGCGATTTAGCGGTTGAGCATGACGAACCACAGTGAGAATAATTGTCCTGGCTCTGCAATCTCAAGCTGAGCCAATCCAAATGCATTGAGCCAGGCCACATACGAAAACAGTTCCATGGCCCTTCTCCGGGTCTTTCCGTTTCGGCGTTCTTTTCAAGGAGACGGCGATGCGCTACTCGGACGAGGACTTCCTGAAGGATGCCTTGGAGTTGGCCAAGACGGCGGGCATTGACGAGGCGCCCAGAGGGTCCGGGGGGGTGGCATGAGCAGCCCAGGGTAAAAGGAAGCGAAGCGTCTGGCAGGTGGGATGAGTGTTCCCCACTGTGCCCCACACTTCCGGCCAGCTTGAAAAGCGATGACAGAGATGTAGAACGATGTGTGTGTGTGTGTGTGTGTTCAACTACACATGTACATTTGTAATGCATATATATATATATATGTACAATTCTCTCGGTATAAGCGTAATATCTATGAGCATCCTGATGCAACCAAACACAGCTGGCTTTCAAGCTCACCCTCTCGCCTTCGGTCGAAAGGGAAACCCACATGAAGTTTCATTTGCGTCCTCAATGTTGAGACAGAGCAAGCAGTCAAAGGGTGTTGCGAGGGACAACTCCAGGGTGCTACTGTCTCTGGCCGGGGCTGTTGGGAAGTTTACTGGCTTCTTTTGAAGCTTTGCAACGGCAGTTAAATCTGACCACATATCGCACAGAAGCGACAGAAAGACAATGGACACGTTTGTGATGCGACGTCGCAGTTCAGAATTCACATGATTCGCATGACGTCGCTTTCTGGCCGGCTGCCAAGTGCAGATGAATACATGTTGGTTTGGAATGCCTGCAGGCAGCTGGCTTGAACCTTGTACTTGTCCACGAGGAATGTTTTTGCCAAACATGCTCGTACATAGCGGCCAACCATGGCGTGCTGTGCTCAGCAATCTATAAACCCGGAAGCTTTTCTCAGAGACTTCTTGTTGAGTGGTGAACTTGGCTGGAAGTGCGTCAAACTGAAGGGTAGTAGCAAAGGCTTGGTTTCTTTTTCCGCTTCCTTGAAGCTCCTTTTGCTGGAGCTCATTTCAGACCTGCGAGCGAGGAGAGCATCGAGAAGGCTCAGAGGCAGCTCTCAAGGCTTCGCATGGTGGACGAGGTGAACAAGATGATGGACAGAAGGGGTGGGCGACGGGAGACGGGAGACTGGGAGACCGACAGGCACGCGGTTGACTATAGGTCTGAGGTGGTACAGAATTGCACCCATCTCAGCTTAATTCAGAATGTGACTTTGCTGCTGGATCCTCTAACGGACATGCGGAGTTGGCACAGTGTCTTTGAAGTTGGGAGCAGAAGGATTTTTTTCTGCCCTCCCTCCCTCCCTCCCTCCCTCCCTCCCTCCCTCCCTCCCTCCCTCTCCCTCTCTCCCTCTCTCTCTCTCTCTCTGTCTCTCTGTCTCTCTGTCTCTCTGTCTCTCTCTCTCTCTCTCTCTCTCTCTCTCTCCCCTCTCCGTCCCTCCCTCTCCTCTCCTCTCGTATCGTTTGGCCTGTTCTCTTCTCTTCTCGTCTCTTCTCTTCTCTTCTCTTCTCTTTTGTTTTTTTGTCTTATTTTTTGTTCTCTCTCAAAAGGGGACACACCACCACTCATTTTGAGGGTTGCTCCGTTCGAGAGCCGAGGCCGACAAAGCCACCCATGTCCGTTTTTAAAGCTCCAAAGGCAGAGGGGGAAGGCAAAGCAGACGCTTCGATGGGGAGGTGGCTTCTCAGATCGGTGCTGTTTTTTTTTCTTCCTTTTTTATATTTTTTTTTGAGAGGAAGGACAAGAAAGATAGCTGTTGTTTTATGTGTTGATAGATTGGTTGGTGTCCTTATGCGTCGTGCAACTTATTCTGGAAGCCCAACAACCCTTAAGGACCCCTCCCAGCCGAAGCGCTTTCAGGACAAGGCCATGGAAGACTCGGAGCTGGACCCTTTGGAGAAGGCCATCCAGACGGCCCACAGCCACTTCTTCGTGGAAGAGGAGGGGTGCTGGTCGTTTTGTGGCAACGAGGCCACTCAAAACCAGCGAGGCGGACAGGTTACTCGAGGTGTCAGTGGGCTTGTCGACGGAACATGACTTACACGACTCCCAAAGTGGGAGAACTCATGGGGCTGTGACTACTTGCTGGATCTGCGGAAACGCGTGAGAATACTGTATGGGTGTGGGAATGGTTCACCGGGAGGCCATTGGCTCGTTCGACTCGGCCTTGAACCCCCTGAAATCAAGCAGGCGCCTTTGGTTGAAAAGAAGATGCTCATCCTTGAAGCTGGAGACTTCTCGCCTGCGTGAGTCTGAGTCTCATACTCTCGTTGAAGGGGAAGTGCCCCGCGTTAGTCGGGAGCATTGCAAAAAGGTCTCGCCCATGTCTTTTCCTTTTTCGAGGAGCCGACCTTTCAACATGACTTGATTTGCGCACTGTTTGACCCTGGCGAGGGCGGTTTATCTCTTGAGCATTGGCGACCACGCAACATGATCCCTTGCCGACTTCCGGGCCGCATGCCATTGCTCATCACCGTTTCGGGTCCCGTGCCCTCAAGCGGGTTTATTATCAAGGACGATCCGTTACAATATGTTTTTCAACACACAACGTACGTCCAGATAGAATATCCAAAAGAGCCGAACATTTACATGGTTTCAGGAGGTAGAACGTTCGTTTGTCCTGGTTTCTGTATTTGTACTATTTGGACATACACTTATTCTGTTTGAACATCCAGATAACATAAGCAATTCTATCTGTACATAAGCGTATTCTATCTGAACAACAATATGTTCTATCTACTTAGTTCAAGGTGAAGGACACGACATCAAGATTATCATGTAGATCAGGTGATACCTAGCCTTGCTTTTGTTCAGCAGTCAGTGCGACTCGGATGGGGCGCAAGGATTTCATGCATAAGACAGACATTGGTGAGACTACTTTGCATTCATTGCAAGATCTCGAGCTGGGCATCACACACTCCGGGGAGCTTTTTTTGCAGACAGTCAGATTGTGTCGACAAATCCAAAGGGGACATCCCCAGCATCATGCAAGTATGCGGATGGAGATCACCAATTCTTCCTAGCTGAAGATAGGGGAGCCCAAATCCATGGACCTGCCAGCTGAATCGTCGTGCCTAGTCTGCACCGTGCTCAAGGTCAGAGGCCACAGGGCTACAGCAGGTCACTCCATGCCTTCCCGAGCCTTTTTTGCCACCCGGCCAGACACAAAGTGGTTCACAAGAGGGGCTTGGGATTTAGATCGATCCATCCGAATTCAACTTGCGCCCCGCGCTTAAAGTGTGCGCCCTCCGTCAGTGTCGGATCTGATCGGCGGACCGGCGGATCGATTGGCCGCGCGGAGCGGCAATGGAGCCCTACCTCTTGCCGGTGCTGGGCGCGTTCTCCTTGTTCCTGTGCCTCGGCATGCCTCGGCTTTCTGCCCAATGAGGCGTGTGAGAACCTTGGGCACGTCGGCAGGGTCACTGATGTTGTCATTCGTTGTTTGGACGGATTGAATTGGAAGTGGGTCTGACTTGTTGGGATTCTTGAAAGCTGCATCTCGCTGCACCAGAGCTTGGGAAGACCAGTTCTTCGCCCTTGCTCGGACGTGGCTGTTGTCAAACCAATGGGACCATTTTGGTCGGTAGGTGAATTCGCCACCCATTTTAGGCTTCCTATTTTAGTGGTTGGATTGGGTCCTGTTCACTGGGGGTACGGGCTTTTGATTTTGACCCATGGCCATATTGATCCGCCGAGAAGGCTTCAAAATCCAAAGCTCCCGGTATGGCTCCGTGCGGTCGAACTCGAGTCAGAAAGCTCGTGATTCTTTTTTGGGTATGGCCCCAAAAAACGGGAATTCCAAAATGGGTTGCCCTGGTAAGTGGAAACATGGCCCAAAATTTGCGGTTTGCCCTAGCTCTGTAATTTTGAGCGACTGCTATGCAGGAACTCAGGAATCAATGAGCAAGCAGCAGTTGCACTCACAGGATTGGTTCCGTGAAAAAGCATTGGCGTTTGCAGATGGCTCTGGTTGCCGATCCATTCGCGCTCGTGGGCGGATCTGTCGTGCCTGCACCGTTCTTGTTTCTTCAGGCCAGTGTATTCAGTTGCGTCGCGAGCAAGAGGGCTTCCCCATCTTCAGAAGTGACGTGAGGGGCAATCATTTTTTTCCAACTTCTCAGAATTTGTACTTGACTACCTGGTTACTTGATTACTTGATTGCTTGACGTTTGTCTGAGGGATCCAGGCCAAGGTGCGATTTGCCATGTTCCGCCATCCGCCATACTCCTATCCCAGGCAAACGCTGCTGGCGCTCAAGAAGCTGCTGATATCTCCGTGTCTCGGCAGTCGTATTCTGTTTCATCTTCCTTACCTGGGATTTGGCTGTGGGTCAAAACCAATGGCATCCCATTTTGGTTGGTAGGTGCACCACCCATTTTAGTTTATTTTAGTGGGGATTGGGATGTTCATTGGGGGGTACGGGATTTTGACCCATGGCCATTTGAGTGGGTGTTCGACACACTTGCTCATATTTCAGGAGTAAGGGGGCGTACCCCGTTCTTCAGGTAGGTTTCTTGATCCATCTCTGTGGATGCTGAAACAATTTCTGACACCATTTGTGGGCAGTCACCTCAGATCAGTGGACGCATCCAAGTTCACCCCCCTGTCAACATAGCAAGCTGAATGAGATCTACTGACCAATGGCTTCTCTCGTAGAGTGACCGAGGGGTCACTCACTTGTTACGGAGATAGGAACCTTGGCTTGCAAACTTTACATGTTTTACTTTTAACCTGGCATTTACATACATCTTGGAACAACAACACAACTTGATCAAGAAAGATCCTGGAGCTTTGTCATTCAAAGTGGGAAGCCATTGCGCTTGCAGGCCGCCGTGAGTCTTTGCTCGGTGGGTCTTGTTGAACAAAAAGTATTGAGCCAAGACAATTGGCCATGGCGGTTCCTGCAGAGACGATTCCTCTCACAAGTCATTATTCAAGGGAAGAACTGACCCTGACCTACAATCAGCACAAGCTTTGGTGATTCTATGTGCAGATGTTGGCCAACGCAGATGTGCAAGGTGAAACATGCAGGTTCAAGTAGGTCTTATTGAAGGCCGTGTCGTATCTGCCATTGGGATTTCGACTGGGTGAATTTGATTTGCCGTTTAGTTTGCACAAAGATGTTGAGCTCCAAGAAGGTCCAGTGCCAAGCCAGCCGTCTCGACACCTTCTGGTGTTTTGGCCCAGCGTTGTCCCTTCTGTCCCCTAAGGCCAGGCTGGTGTAAACGTGCAGTGTGCACCTTGTGGAACCTCCGCACAGATCCCACGAGCCAGGCACGGTTGTGGCCCAGGGTTGCTTCACCGGTCGCTTCTCCTTGCTACGTCGTTTCACGTTTGCTTTCTGATGGGTTCGCTCGTTGAAAGCTGCAGGGAGTGGTTGGGGGATGAGTGGAGGAAGCTGTGAATTGGTGTTTGGGAAATTGCAGACTGGTCCAGGCCAAGGAGTTCAGGTTAGCATCCAGAGGATCCAAGCCCTCGAGCGATCCTTCGGAGAATGCAAGGCTCATTTCGCCCTTGGCAACTGTCCGAGTTCAGCCATGTCGCGCTGATTGAGCACTGCTCCCAAACTACCTGCACCTGGAATAAGACCTGAGCGTAGATTGTTTCGAATTGTATGGTTGGCCTTTTGCGTGTAAAACTTGTACACGGAAAGTGTTTGAAGGGTTCAGGATTGCAGATCACGGCTGAACTCGGCTTGACCAGGCGTTCACCCACAGACAAAACCTGTCAATGGCCATGTCGGGACTGCCAAAGGGCTTGCATTGTGCGGGCAAATAGGGGGGATCATTTACTCGGGGATGAAGCTCTACTTGTTCTCCACCATGGGTTGCTTGACTCTTTTGTTTGTTTGTTTGTTTGTTTCGTTAGTAGGGATCCGCCAGTTGCAGGTTTCTTTTCATATGTTCATGTAGTTGAATCACGCGTTTTCCATGCTTCAGTTTGCATGGCGATGAGGACAGTGTTAGTGTCAACATGTCTGACGCTAGCAAACTGGATATGGCCGTGGGTCAAAACCAATGGTACCATTTTGGGACAGGTGCACCACCCATTTTAGTCTACTTTAGTGGGGATTGGGATGTTCACTGGGGGTACGGGGTTTTGACCCCATATTTCAATCGGTTGAGGCATTCATCAACCTACTTGTAACAGTGGATGTTGTTTACGCCAGTCATGCCAACCTCGCACGGATGCGCCGGTATCCCATGACACTTGGTTCAGTTAACCTAAAGCCCAAATTTCCCGCTTCACCGAATGTTTGACAGTCTGGCATGCACCGAGCGATGCGCGGAGGCTGTGTCGCAGAAGCTGAATCAGACTCGGCAGCGTGTGGGGCGCTGTGTCTGAAATGAGGGAAAGGCGGTAATGGGGCGGGGCGGGCAGGGCTACAAACCTCATGCAAAAGAGACTCATGCAGCAAACTAAGATTATGGCCTTGCCAGCAAAGGAATGCCCACATTGGCTTGCCGCTAGCCACCCCTATCACCAGGTGATGGCAGAGTTCGCTCGGTTTTCCGCTTGTAGCCGCACTCCGACAGCACTCCGACGCACTCCGACAGCACTCCGACAGCCGCGGTTTTGGCGCGGCCTAAGATAGCCTAAGCCAATCGAAGACGAGCGTCAGCGATTGTGATGTCAACCACGCTGACCTGTGAAGCATGTTTGTCAGCTCTCTGGAAGGGATTTGACGGTCTTCCCTAGCAGTTCGGGTTCTTTGGGGTTGTCGACACCATCCCTTGTTTCCGGGTGAAGTTTTTGGGAACAGGAAGACATTCGGGACCCGCGTCTGATAAAGAGTGGGGTTAAGCCTTGGAGAGAAGCTCACGCAGGCAGAGGTTCTGATACGGTTTCCAGCTCCAGAGATGGGTGGGTCATTTTTGCTTCTGCACAAGATTCAAACCCGAAGCATACCCCGGAACGCATCCCCCGAATCAGTGAAACAG